CTAACTGTAAAGTACCTCTCTATGCCCTCGTCTCGACATAGCTGTTGAAAGGGGTCTGAAGTATACTCACCATCATTGTCGGATGACAACGTCTTAATCTTTCTCCCAGTCTGCAGTTCCAATCTCTTCTTCCACTTCATAAATATCTCTAGGACTTCACTCTTCTTCGTCATGGTGTATACCTAACAACACCTAGAATAGTCATCTACAAATATGATGAACCAATGTCGACCACCAAGTGATGCCGTCTTGATGGGACCCCAAACATCTGTGTGCATATAGTCTAAGATGCTCCTCGTTCTATAAATAGCTGTCCCGAACTTCACATTCGTCTTCTTGCCAAGAACATAATACTCACAGAACTCAACTTTCCCACTCTTGGCTCTATTCAATAGTTCCTACTTGCAAAAATTTGCAGTGACTTTTCACCTGTGTGCCCCAACCTGTAGTGCCAAAGCCTACTCGCGTTCGTCTCTGAAATAGTTAAAGCTACCTGGCTAATTTCCGTGCTCCCCTTTAGATAATACATATTCCTAGTGCAGACTCCCATCATCACCGCCAAATATCCATCAGTAACATTCGCTACAGCGTTCTCAAAGGTCACATTGAATCCCTTCGCCTCTAAAGCTCCAACCGAAATAAGATTCTTCTTCAACTGAGGAACAAATCTCATTTCATTCAATTCACGAACTACTCTATCATGTATCCGTATCCTGATGATACCTATCCCACAAATATCACATGATTGATTATTTCCCATGACTGTCACTCCCCCATCGAGTTTCTCGAACGATGCAAACCAATCTCACCGGGGTGTCACATGATAAGTAGTATCAGAATCAAGCATCCAATCAGATGTATCCATATGGTTCACTTCTGGAGTAATCAATAGAAAAAAGTACGAATCATTGGAATCATCACCTCTCGTGACGTTCACCTCATTGGCCTTCAGGCCCTTCTTCTTGCTATTCTCATTCTCCTTGAGCTTCTCGCAATCTCTCTTCCAATGTCCTTGTTCCTTGCAGAACGCACATTGATTCTTCACTAACTGGTGGTGGCCCATTGACTTTGACCTGTTCCTATTATCACCTCTCGGATATGGACTTCTACCTCTCGTCGACAAGGCCTCTCCTGAAGTGCTAGCACGGGAAGTCTCTTTGTCCTTCCTCCTCAAATCGTAGTTTGTCGATGTGTTAGTCACTTCACTATAGGTAATGGAAGATCTCTCGTTCAATAAAGTGAGCACGAATGTATCATACTCCTCATAGGGTAAGGAGCCTAACAAGATAATCATCTTGTACTCATCCGTTATCTTCTCATCCACGTTTGCCAAGTCCGACAATAACTTTATATAGTTATTCACATGATCCGCAAGTGAGGTGCCCTAGACATCTGGAGTCTGCATAATCTCTGCAACAAGTGCAACCGATTCTCAGCACTCTTCGTAAGGTACTTGTTGTTAAGAATCTCCTACATCTTCATCGCAGACGTCACCCCAATCACATCGTATTTCAGCTCTTATTCCAAACAAGACCTGATCATCCTACAAGCGTTCCTATTCATCTTGTCCCATATCGCCTCATCGTATTTCGGTAGCCTCTTATGGACCATAATGGTCTCTTCCAAGTTTTGAGCATTGAGAGTGTTTTGTACGTCGCTCGTCCACAAACCAAAATTGATCTTGTCGTCATATTTCACCACCCTAATCTTAGTTTTTTAAAATTCACCTGAACTGTATGTTGGCCTTCTTGTTTTGATGATGATTTACAAACAATTTACTACTAATGTTGTTTGTCTAGTGTTTGTGCATTCCTATGTATTGTAGACAAACAACGTTGATGGAGGTTGGATGGATTAAGCCTACACGATCATATCAAGAGGAGGTTGGCGGAATTATGGAGTGAAGCATCGTACAATTCAAGTTCAAGATCCAAGTTTAGCTTCATCCGCAACGTGTACCAAGTTGAGCTTAATGAAGATCAAGATCAAGCTTGGGTAATTTAGTTTAGGATTTATATTATGTGTGTTAGATATTCTAAGCTCAATATAATATACACACACATTTTATTGGTTTCTTCGTGTGTATATATATATATATAATATATACATAAGTTTTGGTTTCTATGCATATATATAGTTATATATATACATACATGTGTTTTGAGTTTTTATGATTATATATATGAAATTATATATTTCATATTTTCTATTGTGTTTTTGAAAACATTGCATAGAATATGCAATTTTGTGAAAATATTGTATTCTTAGTTTGTAGACTTCAATATCAGTTTATACATGTTTTACTAAGTCTATAAAAATATTTCACAAAGTTTCAAAAGTTGGTTTATATCAAAACATAAAAAATTCAAGTATCTCATATTTTCATGTTTTGGACTATTTTGTAAAATGATGATATTTTTCTTTTGGGAGGTCTTTTCTGATAATCATTCGTTGTAGCATGTTTATTATCATGTCTACAATCATTCCCCAAAGTTTTATATTTTTTAAAATTTATTTGATATTTTTAAACAACATTTTAAAATCAGCATATCAATTTTCTGTTGTGTCAGTTTTCGGTCGACCACACCGGTCGACGGTCGGTCGACCGGTCCGGTCGACCGAAAGCTCCATCGGTCGACCGCACCGGTCGACCGACGATGGTCCAGATTGTTTCTTCGGGTTTTTGCTCTCCGTCGGCCGACCGATAGAATTTCCGATCGACCGCCTATATTACCGTTGCTTTCCCAACGGCTATTTCCTGAGCTGATTTGCTGGAGCTGTTTTTGTCTTTTGTTTAGGGTTTTGGCTGAGTTTTGGAGTGGGTATAAATACCCCATTGCTGTCATCTTTCAAAAAAGTTAAGAGAATGGTTTAAAAGATTTTAACAAGGGTTTAAACTTGTTTAGTGTTTGTTTAAGTTTGTTTTAAGAAGCTTTTAAGCATTTTTTGTTTAAGTTTGTTTAAGAAGCTTTTAAGCATTTGAGTGTTTCGGTTTTGTGAATCAATTCCATAAGAGCTTGAGAAGATCATTTATTGAAGTTTGAGCTTCCAACTATTCTCCCTCCAACTCTTGATCTATTGAGAAGTTTTCTAAACTCTATTTCTAGCTCTTTTATATATTTGATTATCATTGTTATTAAGCTAGAACTACATTGAGTTTAGTTTTGATTTATATCTCTTTGTTCACACACAACCTTTTGAGCTTATTGTATTTACATTCATAGTATAATTTGGGGTTGTGGGTTTGTGACTAAGAGTTGTGCTTAATTGAGTTCTTCGGGTGAATGTAGAAAACCCGGTTGTGATAGTGGAGATCTCCTCGAGGTGAGGAGCGGAGACGTATGTCGTGGGGACCGAACTCCGTAATCATATTGTTTGTTTGTGATTGCATTGGCGCACTTTCTTTTATGTTCATATCTTATATCGCCTTTGTATATTGTTTGTTGATTATATTGCCCACTATCTAGTTTAGATTGTTTACCCTTGAGTTTATATATCCTTGCACATACATTGCATATACCTCTTTGTTAGGATATATCTTGTTGTTCATATTGCTTATCCTAGCTCATATACATTGTTGTATTTCATACTTGCTAGGATAACTTATTAATTATTTTAATTGGCATAAAATCAGATTAGATTAGCATAAGACCCTAATCATCCCCCCCTCTAGGGTCCAACACTGTACTCCCCATCACCTTGCTGCTTTCACTAACTTCTTCTCCCATGCTTACAAACTCCAAATTGCAAAGAAAGATTTAAACTATGATAAAAATTGAAAAATTATCCAACTAAATCCTAGATCGGATTCCAAAAAGATCTCCTAACCACACGAGAAAAGTGAAATATTGAACCGGTAACTCCACAATGCTATTTACACTGAAGCCTAGAACTCCAAGAACCAAGTTTCCAAAAAACAAATCTTCCTCCACCTAATACAAAATCTTAGATTTGAAACCCTAGAGCTTTGATACCAATTGTTACGCGCCTTGCGGAAGCGTGCTCGCATACCAAACGAGTCCGTAAGCCACGAGAGAAGAAAACCAAATCAAATCACGAGTACAATCCACCACAATACGACAAAAATCAAACCAAACATAGAGATTTAAGTTGTTCGGCAATTGCCTATGTCCACGGGGAGAGGATGAGGAGATTTCACTATATGGAGGAGAAATACAATGGGTTGCAACTCACGAAATCACTCAAATATAACCCTAATCAAAGCTCTCATCTCTCTCATAATATCTCCCTCTCAAAGTGCTCAAAAGTCTCTCCTTTTTCTGATAGTCCTCTGCACCCAACCCTAGAAACATGTGTTTCTATTTATATCGAATAGTGCATCCAAAACCAACCAAGAAACTGAACTGGTCCTAAAACCGCGTCGCGGTCGACTGGGCACGAGCCTGCGGTCGACTGGTCAGAGAGCTGAAAAACTCAGCTTGTAACGTGCACGAATCAGGTCGACCAGGAAAGTCCCCGCAGTCGACCGGCCTACAACCAAATTGCCAGCATCGATTTTCCTGTAATTCGCCAATTGCTCTGCAAATGAAGTATTACTTCCACTATTTCTAAAATTTTGTAAAACAAATAAAAAAGACACTACTTCTAATACTTTCTACTTCATCATTTTGGAAGTCACTTCTTTCATTTACTTGTCACTTCTTCTGATTCTATCAACCAAACGGGCCCAAGAGAGCAAAAGATTTGGGTTTTCAGGTTCTTTTATTCTTATTTTTAATATCCCGAATTGCCCACTTCAGCCTAGACCTCTGTAGACCTGACTCGGACTCGGCCGAGAGGTTTGATTGGTTGGGTATGTCCAATGAAAAGATAAGGAAAAGATGCATTCATGTGTGTTATTTTGATGGAAGGAAACAAAACAAAAGTTAGCCGTAGCATAATTCTTTTGTAAAGTTTGTCCCTTTCTTAGTTGAAAGCGAGGCATTTGTTAATTACTACTCGAGAAGTCTTTTAGTTCTTTATCGTGACA